TACTGAGAGATTTTGCTAGAATTAAAGATAGGAGGATGAGATTACAATATAATTGTCAAGTTTTTTTTTTGTTTTTTGGCAATTCATTCCTGTCATCGAAATTTCTAGTCCATTTACTGGAACCGAGATGTCACTTGCATATTTGTACTAGGAGGGCCACTGATAAATGTGCTTCCAATGTTGGGAAGATTATGACCTCAGCAGTAAACTAGAACTGGAAGGAATGCCTTTGAGTGCAAAGAATTCTACTACTTAACAGGAGGAATAGCGTAGCTAAGAAGTTCAATAATTGTCTTCCTATTGCATGATTTTGACAGGCTAGACAAAGAAAGCATTCAATGGGGATGGTGTATAGCATTTTTTTGAAGAAGCGATGATAGGCAAAGGAAGGAAAATCGCCTCTTTTTGTGGCTGCCAATTACAACTTTAGAACCCTATCGAATACATCCTTCATACTATCCTCATTCAACTGCAAGGATGTCACATCTAAAAAGAGAATGATTGAGTCCATTACTGAATGCAAGCCCACGCACCTCCATAATACGGTGCCAAGGAAGAACAGATCCATCGGAGAACTGAACAGTTACAACAAGCAATCCCTGACGCGGTAGAGTCTTTTTCACAAGTTGACGCTTTACACGTTTACTGAGAGGAATATGTCCTCCTTGTTGAAAGGCGAAAGCGTCCAACGGAGTGGCACCGCCCGAATTTGGTACCATTGGGACACTCTTGCTTCGACCCACTCGGCTACCGGAAAATCGAACGTGTGCAGTGTAAAAGGTGAAGCCCGAGTCTGACACCTTCCCTCGGTCTGATTGGTGGTAGAGTGGTGTACCTCCAGAAGGGAACTTGCCCTCTAATCGATCTTGTTGGGTAACAGTTACGGTGAGATCTGTTATAATGGGACAACTGGGTTAAGCCAATTAGGTCAGTTGTAAGAGGACATATCAAAAGAAGGTGATACCCGTGACAAGTTGAGCTGTAATGCCAACCGGCCAGATCCAGTCGTTGTTCGTCACTGTGACCCAGAGGGTCTGAAACTGCTGCCTATCCCATGCGGCTGCACTTCCACTTCGTTTAATTTGATTTTGCTGTTTTCGCAAGCGCGCCAAAGAAGTAGGTAAAGCAGCCCTAACAAGGGGAGAATCAACCACCGAGGCGAGCCTGACACGAAACCGCCCTGGTCTCTGACCCACCAACCAAACACGAGTCGCTGTCTGGGAGTCGCCAGTCTCTTTGGAGTCTTTCAGTTTGCCCACTAAAACAAGGCGAGCTGGAGTGATTGCTGTATCGTCAATGTGGAGTGCAGCAACGGGTTCATTGGTGAATTCCAAACGAAGGCAATGAGCGGTCAGATCGGTGACGTCCAGTGGTGGACTGATAGAAACCTCCTCTGAGGAGGGAGGGGACGAATGCGAATACTCGCCTGCTGAAGGCGTTCGCGCATTTGTTGCGGTAAATCTAAACCAAGAGAATGAAAATACACCTGAATGTCTTGCTGACAAGAGGTGTTACCGAAGGATCCATCTTACACTTTTGCACCAGATTAGACGATCTCGTTTTTTAATCAAGCATTAAAAAGTCTACAAAATAACCTCTATATCAAGCACTGAGCGCAGAAGCGCACTTTTTGATTGAAATAAACTTTTTATTGGTCTTCATTGGGCAGACTGATCTCCTGACGCTTTCTTTTACATCCTGAATCAGCTAAATTAAGAGACTTCTTAGAATCTACATTAAAGGGGAGAAGGAAAGAGAAAAAAGCGGTGGAGGAATTCTTGAACAATTTTATCTAAAACCCTCTTCCTGTGTGCATTTTCCTTTCACCTCGTGAAGTGGAAAGGCAGCACATTCCGTGGACACAAGAAAAGCAGCCCAGTAACTATTTGAAGCACCGCCTTTGAATACACCTAGAAAAGGTTTTTTAGATACAGCTTGATAGAAAGAACACATCAAAAGTTGGTAGTTACAAGGGTGTTTTAGTGCAACAGCAAGGCAAAACAAAAAGTAAAAATCTGCAGCTGCACATCAATTGCAACGCTCCCCACAACAACCAAAGGTGGCAATTTTGATGTCATACGCGGCACGAGGGGAAATAGACATCACCTCCACCACCCCCATCACCACCGCCATTTTCGTCCCGCTGCTCTTGGTTACGGCCTACTCTTCAGCCTCCAAGACCGTGTCAAGCCCACGTCCGCACCATCCCAAAATAGGCAGCCAATGAAGGCGCGGCGATGCAGCTTTAAATGGCCCGCGTGCACACGCGCTCTCCACTTGGGGCGTATTGATTCGTTTTGAGCGCTCAAGTAGTTGCATTGAGTTGAGCTCAAGCGTATTAAAAGTTTGAGGAGGCGGTGGCGGTGAAGCAGGAGGAGGAGGAGGAGGAGGAGGAGGAGGAATTTCGCTCCTCCATGCCCGTTAGACCCGAAAGCAAAAGAGGGCGGGAGAGAGAAAGCGACTAACTTACCTACGAAATCCCGCCTTCCAGGGGCGATATTTCTCAAGGTCTTTGTGGATAGAGGGAAAAATGGACCTAGAGGGGAGTGGCGTGGAAGAGAGGAGTGAAGGCGATTATTTTGTTGCCGTTGGAAAAAATGTCTTTTTTTACGTTGGCTCAAGCTACAACAAAATATGATCGTGGTTGGAGGACTTTGTCACATTGATGTGCCGCACTGACCTTGGCCTGCGCAGAAAGGTGACCCGGATGTGAGATAATGCGACTGCGTGATGCGCACACCCACACAAGGGTTTCAAGCCTAACCCCTTCAATCCGCCTGGCGGATTTGGGGATCAATTTCAGTGGCCATGTTGCTCACGCCTGAATGGCATATCACCCTCCCTCTCCAAATTATCGACCTGTTTTTCAAGGACAAATGCTTCGAATTGGTCGTTAGCTCATCCATACATCTTCCCCTTCCCTGTGGAAAGTAAAAATACAGCCATTGTGAGGGATTATTGCTGCTCAAAATACAGCTTTGTTTATTTTCCAGAAACGGGTGAGTTACCAAGACTGAACAAAAAAGGAAAACTCTTCATTGAGATGTGATTACTAAGCCGTTAGGATAGTTGTTTGTTGCTAATACCTACCTATCAGTACACAAAAAGGGCATTGTTAAATTACGCTGCCTGAGTTATGCGTATTTAGGGATTGTTAATCCAGCCAAGCCTCCTCCAAAAAAAAATAATAAAAAACAACTGAACAGTAGTGAAATGCAAGTAAAAGTGAAAGAGAGGGAGTGTAATTAAGATAAAATGCCGGAAATGTCTAGCTGATTCGATTAATTCTCTTCCACTGTGAGAATTGGTGCAAAGGTGAAGTACGGACAGTTTAAAGCCCCTAGGTAAAGTCATTGACTTGGTGAGGGGATTATTTGTCCTGTGTCCTAGTCGACTTTAAGTCGCTTGAACGCCAATTTGTTTATCCTGATGCTTGTGTAAGACCTTCCGCTCCATGTGACCCGGTATTGCAACAAACCTTGAGCTCCTCTTCAGAGGACACGCGAGATCACACCGCTCATTGAGGCGATAGACATTCTTTAAGGGGCCACACTATAAAAGATGCCCTCATTTAATCTGCCTACTTGTCTTTAGCTTGAAGTAGAGAGGACAATGGTAGGTCTTTTCGTAAGAGGAGGTGATGCCTGCACTCTATGCTGAATTGCTACTGGACTTGAGATCGCATTCACAACCTCTGAAAATGGAGTTATTCTAGCGCTAAAACCCACGTTCTTGCGTCCTGTGAAGCTGTCAAAACTTCGACTTTTCTGCTACATGCAGAATCAGAGGTCACTTCTTGTAAACTCGACTACCGTTGATAAAACGATTCCATTTACCGTTCCAGTAATGAATAAATTATTTGCAAAGTTAGTGCAAAATACTCCTCCGGGTATGTTTCTATGTTAGTAAAGGGAATGACTGTGCTCGATTAGCAGAAATGCATGAGAAATTCGCATGCATCACCTTGCCACGTGATTGGGCAAAGTGGGTACACATTCTTCCAACAAGAGGGCGTCTGCGCCCTCCCTTTGCTCTGTAATGGGCCTACTGACGCAACTTATAAATGCACATCCTGGTGGAGGAGACACAGAAGCGTTACCAGACTTCGGAAGTGACATTTCAGGTAGATAGACGGCGCAGCAATGTAAAAGTATCACCACAAATGGAAATTTTATAATTT